AATTATTATAACTTAAGAGTAATACTACAATAGACGTCTTTTAAAATAAATTTAATCTTTTAAATATATAGTTCCACTAATTCCTTAGAATATCTCAAAATTTTACGTTAAGTATATTGTGAAAACTAAGAGCGTGTAAAATAAAAATATTTAATACATAAATTAAAAATTATTTTTGCATTTCATACCCAATTTTATTTTAGAAAAATTATTTTCCAAAGTAATATCTATGAACATTTTTCAAATTATTTATCATTAAAAAAAAAAAAAAAATTTAGTATATCTTAGTTAACCTTTCTTTTTAATAATTCGTGTAATTATAATTCATACAATTTAATAATGTTAAGTTGAACTTTTATTATTTAATCACTAAAAAAAAAATAACAATACTATTTGAAATGGATACGTTTATTATTTATGCAATTGCTCATGTAGACACTGTCAACATAAGTTTTCTTTTTAAATATTAATTTTACTTATTATATCAGTTTAAATTATATGCACTTTGCTGTGTAACTGTCGAAATATATTTGTTAACTATTGGTGAAATAATTATGACGTGTAATAATAACAATAAATCGATAAAATTATTAATACGTTCGTAATTAGACGTGTTTTCTTTGCTTGTAAAGTAAAATTCGTGTTCATAATATAATTACACCGAAGTATTACTTAACAAGATATATGCATATATGTTTTCGTAATTGTTGAAACAGTAACTCATGATGTTATATCAGTTAATATGCTACACTTGTGCTTTTATGTTCCTTTGTATTATCTTATTTTTCTTTTACTCCTATGTAAAAAGACAAATAGTATTAATAAAATGATAAGTAATATACCTAATTATAAATTTTCCTTCTGAGTAAATAAATTCAAAATACCTAGACATAGAATGGCTATAGTATTGATAAATCAAGAAGTATTGTTTTTGGATTATCTTTGGAGTAATACATTAAAAATTTGGTAATGTAAAACTTTGTAAATGCAGTTAGTAAAATCACAAAATTTATTTTGTCAGTTATATATTTATTTTTTAAAGAAAATTAGAGTTTTAATATTATTTTTGCATGTAATCCAAATTAATTAGTTTGAAAAGGTAAATTAGTAACTTATATTTTTATAAATTATTTAAAAAATGAATTTACTATATTATATGTATAAGTGTTCTACGGTGATTTACTAATTTTTATATTAGTTTATATAGTCAAATTAATAAATCAAAGTAGGATACTCTGAATATAATAATATTTCATAATCTTTTTATATTTGTAAGAGTACATTAGTAGATTTTTCTGGTATTTTTTATTTAATTTAAGTTGCTAAGTATGAAAAAAACTGTATGGAGTACATTACAAATAAAAAAGCACAATTCTTGGTGCAATATTTTGTCCTTTAATATTTAAAATGTTCTCTAAATATTTTAAAACAAATAAATTAAATTTTATTTGAGAAATCCTTAATATATTTTACAATTGCAGAAAAATAATTATTATGCTTAAAAACAATACTGAATTATTATTCAATTATGACGACAAAAAACAAAACAATTAAAAAACACACTTTTCTTTCATTATAAGAACTATTGAAACCTTAAAGGTACCAAAAACATTATGTTTACTTATAACTAAAATTTAATAGTTTTATTTTTTTTAAATACTATTGGTAATTAAAAAATAACCAAGTATGGATTCGGCACGTACATGATATAGTATTCTTTATCTTTAAGTCATTCAGTAATGATTATAAAGGTTTTATTTTCGTGAATAAATTCAATATATTAATTTCATAATTTTCAAACTCATTATGTATTTACGATTCCTATTAAAATTATATATTTTAAGTATTATTTAGATGATGTTTCGCAAGTCTGTCCGCTTTATTTAAAACGAATTAAGTTTTCATAGGTCTCCTATTTTTTCCTCATCTTCATCACATCTACTTGGGGTCGGCCACCCTTATCCTAAACTTCCACTTGACACGATCACCCACATCATCTACGCACACATTAGTCATCCTCATATCAGATTTAATAACATCCCTCCATCTTTTTTTTTAGTGTTTCTTAATCTCTACTTTCTTTAACATTAAATTCAATAATTGTTTTACAGCTTCCGCGTGATTTTTAAATCATTTTTCTCATCCTAGTTGTTTTTATAGGTATAATTAGAATACATTTTTGGGGGATATTAAATTGATTATTAATCTACATTAAATTTTTTTTATATAATAGTATATATTTTTGAAGAGGTAAATTCTTTGTCTGAGGGGTTTGGTTGGATTTATGCTTTTATTTTTATTTTTACAAAACTAAGATTTTTTAAGTGAAAATAAAAAGTATTAAAAATATATTAATTTATGTCTCTTTTAATTTTCCTTATAAATAATTTAGAAATTAAAGGAAAGTACTCTTATAGTCACTTTTGATGAAATATTTCGAGACTATAAAGTTTTACTATACATCTATATCATTTATTACGTTCATAAACTAGTACACAAAATTTAAGGTTCAATATATTAATACTTTATAAATTTCATCTGTTGAAGAAATATATAAAATTAAAGTAAAGACGGACGAATCGGTAACTCAGCAGTGCTTGATGCGTACTGGGTCGGGTTCGAAACTCGGTTATGGTTAGATTCATTTGAGAGATCAGTTCGGTAATTGGAGTCGTCATCTCTCTCTTTGGCAACAAACTAGACACTCTTTGGGAAGATCGCTATAGGCCTGTGAAGCGAATTTTATACAATTTTATACATTTTATACAATGTGATTTTTTTACCATAACCCACTCAATTACTTGCAGAATAAATATAATTTAAATATATTTTTTTTTTTGGTTTTCTTTAGTTATACATTATTCTTGAATTATTAACTAAAAAATACTTTTTAAGATCATCCCTTATGTCTTGTAGAAGTGTCAATTTTGATTTTTAAATGGGAATACATATTTTTAATTTAATAAAATGTTCGGGGTTTTAATTCAATAGTAAATGACATTTAAATTTTTTATATAACCTTATTAGTTATATTAGTTAGTTTATCAGCTATTTGGTTTTTTATAACGTCGCTGTCACAGTCACTGAGTGTTTAATGTCAATTATGACTATCAATAGATATACTTTCTGTATTGCCAGTTTGTGTATTTATAAACTCACAATAATGTGCCTTATTACCATTGATAATAAATGCTGTGTATCTACGAATATTAATATCATAAAAAACCAATTAGCTACCTGTATTTGTAATTCCTTGTGTATTATACATGTATATTAACTCAAAAATTGAAACTTTAAATGCTTATATCCAATAAACTAATAAAGTTACATTAAAAATTCAAATGCCATTTACTATTAAAATAAAAACCCAAATCTTTTATTAAATAAAAAATATGTTTTCCCATTAAAAAAAACAAAGTTGACACCCTTTCAGGACAAAAGCGATAATCTTAAAAAGTATTACATAGTTAATAATTAAAAAATAATGTGTAATTAAAGAAAACCAAAAAAAAAAAATATTTAAATTATATTTATTCTGCAAATAATTGAGTGAGTTATGGTAAAAAAATCTCATTGTATAAAATTAAAGTTATTTAAAAATAGACGGAGCCGCCAAAATGGCATACCATTTTAGAATTAAATTTGTCTATGACTAAAATTATGTACTCAATTTTGAAAATTTGAATTTAATTTATTTACAAATATTATTTTACAAAACAATTGAATTTAATTTAAAATAATTAAAAACACTGTATTAGGAAGAAGTGAAAATTAGAGGCTAGATAAATTATAAAAATTTTATTTTTTTTTTAATATTATACTTGAGACTAATATGTTGATTGAGATGTGCCAATTTTATTCAACAAGGTATTGTTCGGAATAACGTAAGATTTAGTAATTGTTAACTTAAGTATTGTTTTTGTTTACTCAAATAATGTCAATGTTAAACTTATTACAAGTGTCAATATTGTAAAAAACGTGTATGTTGATTTGAAGTATACTATCTTAACTTCCAATTATACAAATAATGAGTCGAGAACACGATACTTATGTTGGAAATATGAATTAAGATAAATATTGAAATCTAAATTTATGATTATTGTTCAATGAAATTTGTAGTATATTTTCAAAAATAAAAATTGTTAATTTTTTTTAAACCCATAGAAGATACATTTATTTTCAAACTATATTTTACACAATTATGTCCAAAAGTTATTTTATAATACAATTGAGACACATGTAGGTGGTATTTATAAAGTAAAATAAACAATTTTTATAACGGCGTAAGTGCAGTCATAAGTACACTGTGAGGTATCATTTTTATTTCGAGAGTCGTTAAAAATATAAATGGTTTTGGTCACAGTCGTAATTATTTTTTTTCGCTATCATAGTAATAATTATTTTGATAACTATGAAACATTAGCAGTGTAATCAAAAGTGTAGATGATATCCATTATATAATATATAACGTTTGTATATTATATAAACGTTTTATTTAGCTTAAGCCATTGAATGTTTTTCTAATTCTCGACATCAATTTTTTTTTTAATAATATTTGCTTAAAGTTAAAATCTTATCACATTTATCATTTAATAGATTTAATCAACGTTTAAATGTTATTTAAATTGCAAACAGTTAGTTTGCTGTAAAAGAATTTCTATTCTAAAGATATTTTTAATTTCACTCTATTAAAGTACTTCTATAAGAAATGTATTATTTTTAATAATAATATAAAATTAAAAAAAAAATAGTATAATATTATAATGAGTTTAATAAAAATAAAAATCAGATCTTTATAATCATTAGTTTTATTTTCAATAAAACTTTATACAGATTCATAATTTGTAATACTGTCTCAGAAATCAAACAAATCTTATATATTACTAAGTATTAACATACATATAAAAACTTTAAATTCATTAAACTTTGAAATTTTACTTTTATGCTCTATAAATTGTAAATAATCCTTAAAATTCGTCCATAAACATAATCAATGTACATATGGAAAGTACACGTTAAACTAAATTGTATTACGTTAATATGTGTATTCTTATCAACTTAATCCTTTTCATGTTAGCAAAACCATGTCAGTGTCAATTAAAACTACTTAGATTATCTAAAACATTGAAAGATTAACAACAGATAGTGCAATAATCACTAATCACGCCTTCCATTAATTATATTACCAACCTGATATTACTACTTTATCTTAAAAATAACAGATAAAATGAAGTTTCAGTGTAGATAGGTATTTAATATGTTGAAGAACGTTTACAAAATTATGTAGTTTGATATTTGGTACAGTTATATTTGGACGATATATATTTACAAATATTTGGGAGTTGATGTTAATTAATCAAGAAAAAGTCTTTCCTTTTAAATTTTTTGTTAATTTATAAATAATTTAAGCTATACTTAAGTATATATTTATTTCGTAAAATATTATTAGTTTTTGTGTTATCTATTTGTAGTGAATTAATAATTTTAATACTTTAAAGTTTACAGTAAAAATGAGTAAGTTTTATAAATTTATACCATGATACTTTATATTTATCACGCCAATAATGAAAGTAATATGGTATATTCGAGCACTTAAACTATATCTATAACTTAAGAGCTCAAAATATATATTTTGTTTAGTCTATTTTTTATTTATAATAATTAAAAATATTTAATGACTAAGAAGATTTGATAACATTTAATTTTTATAAAGATACTGTATCACCTCAATAAAGTTGTTTATATATTTATGATGTTAAAAATTGTATTCTAGTATCTAATAAATAATGATAGAATAATTACATTTATAAATATAATTTTAATTAGTTCAATGTGAAAAAATTACTTTACAATAATTTAATTTATCTTCTTCAATTTTTTTTTTCTGTTTATAAGAATATTAAAAAAATATTAATTGATATTTTAACCTATTTAAATGATCATTTTATTAAATAAAACATTTTAAAGGGTTAAAATTAAACGAACTTATTTTTAACTAATACCCATAGAATAACATATTTTAAGTACTTTATTATATATTTTTACAGGTAATTTAAATTACATACAAGATACTATGAATGGTAATCCTGAAATTATCACTCAAAGAAGTATTTACCAAATTGATACAGTAAATAATGAAAAGAGTAGGCCTGTTAATAAAAAACACAAGAAAAAACGAAAATGGTCTGATAACATTCGATCTACTCTACCAATAATCGATTGGTTATTTTTGAATTATAATTGGTCTGGATGGCTTATGGAAGATACTATGTCTGGAATTACAGTAGCTGTACTAAATATACCTCAAGGAATGGCATACTCTATTTTGGCAAATGTCGAACCAACGGTTGGCTTATATATGGCCGTTTTTCCGGTTTTAATATATGCAATATTAGGAACATCCAAACACATATCTTTAGGTGTGTTGTCCGTCACTTGTCTGATGACTGGTAAAATAGTTTCTGAGTATGCTAATGACCTTGCTGATGAACCCACAGGATATTCAGAATTGCAAGTAGCAACCGCTGTCACTATGGTGGTTGGTATTGTACAGCTTTTGATGTACGTATTTCGTTTGGGCTTCATATCAACTATCTTATCAGATACTTTAGTCAGCAGTTTTACCGGTAGTGTTTCAGTTATAGTACTCACTTTACAATTTAGAGAACTCTTAGGAATAGAAGCTGATCGAAGACAAGGACTACTTCACGTACCTTTTACTTATTATGACTTTGTTGATTGTTTTCATACAATCAATTGGATAACCACCACAGCATCAATGATTACTATACTAACATTAGTTTTATATAACAAGTACCTAAAAGAAAAAATTAATAAAAAAACGTTCATTCCTATACCAATTGAACTAATTGTAACTATCATCAGCACTTTAATCTTTCAATTCACCACTATCGCCCAAGATCATCATATGAAATTGGTATGCAATATTTTTTTCTCGTGTTATAATAATATAACTTATTTGGAAAGTCTACTGTTTCAATTAAAATCTTTAATTTATTAGAATTAAGTAAAAAAATTGTATAAAAAATGATAAGTGTAGGTGTTATATTACTTAATATATTTAATAATTAATGATATCATTTAAAAATAATGTGATTTCATTCTAGTCCAATTATTTAAAAATTAAATCTATTTCTATCTAATTATATCAGTTATTTGTCATTTGATTCCCAAAATTTAGAGTATTATTATTATTTTCGTCCCTGTGGTATTGAGATAATTAAATATAAAATCTAAACCCATAAAAATAATCAATATTATATCTATATTAAAGTCGTTTTTTCAGAAACATTACTGATTTCTAATAAAACGAGTTTTTGTTTTTCTTTTAAGATGAAGTTACACGTTGCACAGAATAAATGTCAACGGTGACTAATATTTCATAAAAATACTAGTACCACGTCTGTTTTATGTTTAATTATAAACAGACATTGAAGTTATTATTAATTTTTCTAAAATTTTGTAACTACAGCTTTTAATAATTGTCAAATGATTGATTTATTCATTGTTAATACAATTTTAATTATATAATTTTTGGTGCACATTTTGAAAATAATTTCGATGAATTTGTTGACAGCTAAAAGTTGTCTCTTTTACTACTAGATTACAATAACTAAGGAAAAAACCTCATTTAAAGACAGAACTTTGATGGACTTTAAAAAATTATATTGAGAAAACCTTATCCCAGTAAGAATTAAAAAAAGAAAAGTTGTATTAAAAACATCTTTAAATTGAAATAATATAAAATTAAATCAATTGAAACTAAAATGACTTCTAAAAAATAATCGTATTTCAAAAGTCAGTCAATTCCTATTCTTAATAATTATACAAATAATTTTTAAAATACTCTATTCAATTTTGTATTTATAGAACATTATAATATATGCTCAATTAAATGTATAAATTGTAACCTTTGTTTAATTTTATTTTAGGTGGGTGAGATTAAATCTGGTTTACCTACTTTTGAAGTGCCTCCAGTCAAATTGTTTCAATCAGTATTATTTGACAGTTGTGTTATCGCCTTAGTAGCGTATTCATTTTCAATGTCATTAGCTCTACTTATGTCAGAAAAGATGAAGTATGAACTAGATAATAACCAAGAGTTATTGGCTCAAGGTATGAGTAACGTAATAGGATCGTTTTTTGCTTGTTTACCGTGTGCTGCATCACCTTCCCGTAGCGCCTCAATGCAAGCTATTGGAGGTAAGACTCAAATGGCTAGTATAGTGTCAGCAGGAATAATTGTAGTTATTTTACTATGGATTGGTCCTGTTTTTGAACCTCTTCCTCGCTGTGTATTATCTAGTATAGTAGTAGTGGCACTTAAGGGTATATTTATTAAAAGCTTTGATATTATAAAAATTTGGAAAAAATCAAAATCAGATAGTATTATATGGATTGTAACATACTTAACAGTTATTTTGTACGATATCGACATAGGACTATTAGCTGGAGTCGTTGTATCTTTAGTAGTAGTTTTATTTAAAAGTTTGTTGATTCAAATGCATGTATTAGGTCGAATATCCAATACTGACCTTTATGTAAATTTGGATACGGTTAGTAATGCTGTTGAAATACCGAATATTAAAATTATACAGTTCATAGGCAACTTAAACGTTTTAAATCGATATTCGTTCAAAAAGAAATCAACAGAAATAACAAAATTTGGAAGTATCAGCGATATATTACCATTAAATGATGTCGTTATAGCTGATAATTCGAATGGAAAAGTAAATAATAATAATGATTTACGAAAATGCGTGGTCATTGACCTTTCTGGTCTTCAATATATAGACTTAGCTGGAGCAAAAATGCTTTTGGATTTGACAAATTCTTTGATCTCTGACAAAATTGATGTATATATAGCGGCTATACCGATAAAACCTTATAACTTCCTCAGAGATTTTGATTTAAAAAATTTAAAATTGATTAAATTTTTTCCGACAGTACACGACGCCGTGTCATTCCATCTAAGTAACAACAACAATTTCAAATCTCTAAGTATTATCCTACCTTAAAATAATACAATGCTACTGAAATAATCATTATTTATATTAATTGTAATGATAATTGTTACTATTAATTGATATGTCAATATTGTAATTTATTTTTAAATTAATTAAGAGTTGTTAAAAATGTAAACATTTGTACAAATTATTATGTTGATTAATTGTATTTAAACTGTGATTACAATCTTTTTATACATATATTTGTTTAAAATATATTTTATTACACCAACTACGGATTCTAAGTATATTTTGACTTTTTAATAATATCTAACTGAATGTAATCAAAGATTTATATTAAAGATAAATAACAAAACAAAAAAGTTTGTATGGAATACAAAATGTATAATAACTAGTTGTTTGTAAAGAGTGAATGGCTACATTCTACGTAACCCTAAAAAATACAATTATATTATTTCACTGAATTCATAGTTCAATGGTTGAGAAAGTAAGGTTACAGCTCAACAGTCAAGGTTTAATTAAAATTTTCTACTTTCATGTGATATAATTTGAAAAAAAACATCTTTAGTAAATAGAATTGATTAAATAAAATAAAAATTTTTTGATTTCAACACAACTATTATCACACGAGTATAGTAAAATAAAATTTCCATCTTTTCTTTTAGGCCAAACATTATCAGTCTCTATACTTCGTGTACAAATTTTTTGATATCAAATAAAATAAGTTGTTGATATCAAAAAATTTGTACACCAAGTATTGGAACTGATAATATTTGTCCTAAATTAAAATGGCTTCAGCTGTTATCATGAGTCAGCAATTGTTGATTATACAGAGATACTTAATAAAATGTTTTATTTTATGTTTGTGATAATTTATAAATGTGATTATATATATCCATGGCAATAGCTAGTCTTTGGATTAAACTGTTATCAGACAAGCGTATTCTTAACCGCAAATTTAAGTTTATCAAGAGAATAATAACATGTCCGTGAATTTAAACCGAACAATTTAAAAAAAATAACGAAGTGAAATCTATAAGTTGTTTTATCTTTATATTCTATTATTTTCAAATAAATTGGATGTTAAAAGAAATAATTATACAAAAAATTATAAACTAATTAATAGGTATCACTTCAATTAATTACAATTTTATTTACTTTTATGGTCAATTTAATTAAAAAATTAGAATCTTCAACAACAAAATAAAGTGAGTTAAAATCAATCATATTCAAAGTATCATAATCAAGTCAATTTTAAATAATTCATTACTTTATTTTTAATTTATAAGGAATGTACGATATTTCAATCAATTTTTATTGTAAAACTTCCAATTTAATTAATTAATCAAATTATTTATACTGAATTAAATTTTCATTGATCTTTTATTGACTGATTAGTTAGTCACTTATGACTTATGAAAATTGTTGTTTTTTTTAAAAATAATTTTGGAGTTTATGGTCATAGCTAAAAAGAAAATTCAAGATGGTATTTATTAATTAACATTTGTTTCCATAAAATAAATATTTGTTATTTCTTTTTTTGTATTATTATTAACCTTATTCAATCAAATTTTTACTATTTTAAAATAAATTATTATATAATTAATAAAAATTAGAATCTTAATAGTTAAATGAAGAAATTGAACATATTTTAATACTTTTTTATATTAGTTTATTCTTAAAATTTCAAAAATGTTATTTTTTTTAACCATTTTACTATTAATAGTAAAAAAGTAAAATAATAAAAGAAAACATAAAAATTAAATGTATATAAATTAATAAAATTATTGCATGTCTATATTATTATTCTTAATTTGTATAATATTTATATTTGAGATATTATACGCCTAAGTTAGTAATCTCCTTTTTAATTTAAAATTCTTATAATTTTAAAATATTTTTAATACATATATAAAATTGACTATTTTTATAAATGAATGAATTTTGATATAAAAACTCAAAATCCTATTTTTATGTAAAATGATAAGCTCATATGCATAAGTTATAAATGTAAAATCCATTAATTTTTTATGTTTTTTAATTTAACAAACTATTAAAAGCTTAAATTTAAATAAAGAGACTGATGAATCACAACTATTCTTTAATTTTTTACTTCTTCAATGTTTATTTTAATTTTTAAAGTATTATTATATTTATTTAAGTTATAATATAAACTATTTATTAAGTTTTTGAGTACAAAAGTACTTGTTATCTTTTGGGACAATGTATAGTTACATTAATATTTTGTAAAGTAGTTGTATAATAAAATTTCCATAACCTATACTAATTTATATGTTAATATAAGCATTTAATATAATAAGCATTTTAATACATAGAGTGGATATGTATTGAGGATGTGAACAGCACTTATGGTGTAAGTTCACTTTGCTGACAATATATACCAATTATATGTACTAAAAATTGTTGACAATTCATAAAAAATTTTCTAAGAAAAGGGTTAAAAATATGGTTATTTTTGAAAAATTATCAAGAATGTAATTTTTTTTTAAGAGATAAATAATAAAAATATGCTTTTAATGTATTTCATAACTATACAATTTTTTTATATAAAGTAACTTTAAATATTTGCTGGATCAAAAGTTATTAAAGACATGGGAACATGGTGCGATACACTTATACAGAATGGTTGATATATTGTTAACCACTAGATTTCTTCTTAAAAATTTTGTATTATTATTATTATTATTATATTTTGTATTTTTTGTATTATTTAAGTAATATTTATTTTTTGATTTTTAGCTAAACAATTTTTATGTTAATGCCTTATCCCTTTTAAGAGTATTAATTTAATATTTTTTAATGAAAACGCTCATAATTTTCTTGTTCAATAGAATATGGTCTAATTAAAGAAATGACTGATTAACAAAAACTCTTGAACCAACAGTTATTTTACTCGTGGGTAGGAGTAGCACAGAAAAAAAAAATTCATAATGATAAAAATAATAAAAAGCACACCCCTCCTACAATCTACATTTTAAAATGTTAATAACTTCCAAAATACTATTTCATAAGTTATTTTTGATCAGTTATTTTTCATTGTATGTACTGGTTAAATATGTATGTTATCATTTAAACAAATAAATGTGGTACCCTTATAAGGGATAAAAAATATATTAAAAAATATTTAACCATTTACAAATGGAGAAATAAATAGTCAAAAACTTTTTTAAATTATTATTTTAGAAGAAATGTAGTGGTCAATGATAAATCAATCACATAGTATAGTTGATTAATTATGTTTGTACTAAACTAAAAATTTATTTATTTTTGTTATGTAGGTGGTTTTTGATGTGATTCTTTTAAAGAAAGATCATATCAATTAATAATAATCTCATAACTTATGTAAGTATAGAATAAATGTGAAAATCTATGTTCCAAATTTTTAACTTAAAAAAATTATAACTTATTTTTAAAATAATGAATATAATTGTTTATTTTTTTAGGTTCTAAGATGGCATCTTTTGACTTAAGAAGGGAATTACAGTCTAGAGGTCCTGTTGCAAATCTTAATAGAAGTATTGCCACTAAAAAACATACTTTACATTTTGATGGCCGCTTTGTTAGTAAATCGGATCGGTACCAATTGGAGTCGTATGGTCTTTATACACCAAATCCTGTTCTTGAGGGATTGAGCTTATCAAATAAAAATAAAATTCTATGGTCAGCTCGTTTATCTGAAAGTTTATGGGCTTGGTTTGTTTATGGTCGCAAACTTATGGTTTGGAATGCTGAAAATAATAAAGAAAGCAAAATGAATCCGTGTTTTGAGCTTGGATTACCAGCTAGTGAAGTTGCCCATCAAGCTGCATTAGTATGGGTGTATGAACCTGAAACGGGAAAATCTACATCACATGCATGTTGCATTGCAGTGTCACCTGAAGGTTTAGTAAGATTTTGGAGAGATGTCTATGATGAAGTTATTTATTCTGAGCATAACACTGAATTAATGGGAAAAGAATGTGAGTTTTTGTATCAAGTTGATAGCTCTAGGTTTATTTTATTAACAACCACTGCTGATTTAGTTATGGTAACTGTTAATATGGACACTATAAGACCTCAAATTAGTAGCAAAATATTGACTGAATCAACTGGATGGTTAGGTAATATATCTATGAATTTGTCATCGCTTGTTTTTGGTTCAGCTGGACAACAAACTGATCCAAAAACAGTCCGTGGTTGTGTTATAAAAAGTTCGTTTAATTATACAGAAAACTTATATGTAGTAGTTACAAATGGTACAACTCTAACAAAATGGAATGTATCTACACCAAATCGTGAAAAACAATTGTTTGAAATTAATTTAGCTAGTTCTTTACAAGAAAAATTTTCAATTTTGATGTTCAATAGTATTAGCACCGCAGATTTAGATATGGAAATAATTGATATGAAACCAATATACAACCGCAATGAAGAAATTATGGTACTTATTTATACTAAGCCAACACAAGCACATAATTATTATATTTTGGCAACAATTCAAATTCATGATAATAAATGTCCTATAACCTCTCTTCATGTATTAAACAATATTGAAAGTTCATATTTAAATGAATCAACACCCGAATTGTTAATCACTGATCAACAAGCTTTTATATTATCTAAACGTTACATAATTGTTGTCAGTGTTGAACCTGAATTTCAAACTGATATTATAGGAAATGATTGTGATTTAAAATTTGGAGGAGGTTCTGTAGTAAACAATTATGGTATGTTTTTTACCCAATCTCATTGTTTAACTGTTATTACTAAATTAGCAGATTCTGATTATGATTTTAATGAATCAAGGAGTGTTCTTCAAGTTCCAGATTTAAATCAATCTAATATAATATCTGTAGAAATCGAAAGTGGAAGTAATGAAACTAGACTTAAATCAGCTTTTCTTCAATTTATAAGCCGTAAAATAGAAAATTGTAAAGCTCTAGTAAAACAAGCTTGTCCCGAGGAGTCAACAGCTAATGACGGATCTAATTTAGATAAAACTGTTTTCAAAGTTGGAGAAGATTTAATTAATGATATACCAATTAATGATCCTCGTTGGTTAGGGGTTCAAGGTGAACCAACTATAAGGTCATCTTCAATGGTTATACTTAGCCATTTAGAAGAAAAACAGCAAGCTATTCATTGGTATTTGAAATTCTTACAAGAACTTGGTTTGTGGTCTCGTATGAGAAAAATTAATAAATATGGTACTCAAGTTTATACTGGATGTGCCTTAAAGGATTTAAGTGAAAAACTTCAAGCTACTGTAACATTTAGGAAACTTGAAAATGAATATGGTGAACTATTGGATTTGTTAATTAAAGAATCTGTTGAAAGTAACGCTGAAAGTTATACTTCTCCACCTGGTCTTACGCACATTGATAAATTTTATAAACAAGTTAGTATGTCTCACTCCTTATTTAAAAGATTATGTAACTATGGTGTAGAAGTTGCTGCCACTAATCGCAGTTCCGTAGACATATGTTCTATTCTAAGTAATATAAATAGCATATTAGTTAAAGTCATAGGAGCAGTTTTAGAATACAGAAGACAAAATATTGAGTTCTTTCCCATTGATAAGCAAAAAAAAACTGAAACATCTTGGATTTTATGCAAGGGAGATGATGGAATTTGTTCTGAACTCTTAGATCAAATAAATGTTACATTAAAATTTGCAGATATGTCAAATATAACTAAAGAAATTCGATCTGAAATGTCTGATCAAGTATCTTTCTTAGTAGATGCTATTTTATCAAGTTGTATTGATGTGTTTAACAATACTGATTCTAAGTTTATTGACATGAGATCTAATTTACTTAATGAGTTAATCTGTCATAAAGAATATCATAAGTCAATTGAATTGGCTGAAAAGTATGGAGATTATAAAGTTATTGTAGAAGTATGTTATAAAACAAATAACATTGAACTATTATATATCTTTATGGATAAATTGTATGATCAAAATTTTCGTCAAATTGTTTTTACGTGGTACTTGCAGCATGGTAAAGTTGTAGAATTTTTACGTAACTTTTGTCGTAGACCCAAATATGAACGCGATATTGTCATAGCTCTAGAAGAATATCCAAAATATGGTTGGATAGCTGGTGGACTAGCTGAAAATATGAATATGGCATGTGAATCACTTAAACGCTGTTGGTCAAAAGAAGAATCAAATATTATACGAAAACAAAATCAGCTCAACTTATATAAAATGGCATTTTTAGCGAAGCATGGTCCATTAATAAACCATCCTGAATTAGAAAAAATTGATAAAGAATTAGAAATTGTTAATCATCAAATTAATATACCTGAATGTGTTTTAGAAACACTTAACATTAATTTAAACAATATGTTTGTACTTTCTCCTTCTGAAATATTTAATCATTATATTTGTAAAGAAAATGTGATGTTGGATGAAAATGATTGCTTACGGGCATTGTCAGTTTTACGATTTATTGAAAGTCAAGAAGAACGTGAAAAATTAAGTCGTAAATTATGGTGTGAAACTATTCTTAGAGAAACTCTTAAATACCCACTTCCTGATCAAGAGATTGATGATCCACAACAGTTAACTATGGATTTATTATTTTTCAAAACTTTAGTTGTAGTGTACGAAAATGGTTTACTAGATTTTGTACCGTCTTTAGACTGGCTTTTACATGCAAAAGAATTGGAGGCATTTCATACAAATGCTGTATGGCAATATATTATGAAAATGGGATTTGAATGTTGTTTAAAACCATCTAGCACATTAATGGATTATGATAGTTAGGAAATTCTTCCTTGTAAAATAATTTTTTTTTATTCATTTGTACATATGTTCTAGTGTAATTTTCATATATATGTTTATTTACATAAGGTATCCTTTTTTAAGTTTTAAATAATTCAATTTTTTTAATATTTACAATTTATTTTGTTTAGTTATGAATAAATTGTTCTATTATTTAAAAAAAAAATGTTTAAGATTTTGCATTATTACCAACTTTTTATGTCTTTTTTTCCGCTTTCATATTTTATTCATTCGGTTTAGAATTGACTAAAATTTAATATTTTATTGATATTTGGGCTATTTTTATGTTTTAATACCAAGTGGTTAAAGATTTTTATATAAAAAAAATTATATTGTAGAGAAATGAATCACAAAAATACATTGTGATAAATGTTTTGAAGTAACCAATATATTTATTAATTAAAGCTACTGGTATGGCTATTAATATCATCATTATTATTATACCACAATACTATAACTGTATTGTATATAGTTTATAGAATTTATTAATGTAATGATTTTTTGTCTTATTTTTAGCACTAAATCTTTATTGTTAAAATAATAATAATAATAAATATAAGTAATATTTTTATAATAATTAAAGCTTACGTTTGATTGAAAAGACATTACAAGAAAGTTCATGAAATTGATGAAAGCCTTTCTAAATTTTAGAAAAGTAATTTAAATTAAAAATTAAATTATTATTTCATTAATGAGGCTGATAAAATTTTTTTTAAGTCTATTAACTTAAATTAATTGGTCATTAAGATTGAGAGTATCTTTCAAAAGTATAACTGTATTTTAGAAGCAGAAAGGTCCATTTATATCAAATTTTACTTTTTGTGTATTATTATATTAATTTTCATTGTATATCATTACTTATCTAAATTATAATAACATTATACTTATTATTGAAATTTTTAAATGTTAATCCATGCTCTCCCAGAAGAGCGCGACAGAGTATGTGTAATAATAAAAATGACAACTCGCACCTTATCACAACTCAATATTTTAAGATAGTTTTAATTTCCGAAATAATGAGTGAAAAGATATTGTTGTTTAAATCGTTTTTTTTTGCTTCGAAGTGAAGCTGAGAAGGTATTGGTATTACTATGATGTGTTTTTTTTTTGTGTCTTACCACTTTTTTCAGCTCTCACTGAACTTATTTCTTTCAACGATACGTCAAAAGATCAAAAATCGTATCTAGTCGAAGACGTTACCCTCAAAAATTGAAAAAAATTCCCTCGTTTCTCGTAAATGGGGGAAACCTCCAAAAAAATTACAATTTTAAAAATCGCTAATTTTCGACATTTTTTCAATTTTTTTTTACTTAAAACTGCCATAACTTTTTCAAAATTGAACAAATCCATATAATTTTTTTTAATAGATGCATAATGTTCTTACTTATTTGATATTTTTTTTTATAAATTTGACCCTAAACCTGCCCACAGGGTAGGATTTAAAATGACAACTTTTTCACAAAAAATTAACTTTTTCAACTTGACTTTTTAAAATGTACCGGAAAGTCTGACACTTTTATATATATCTTAAATTAAAGCTAATGTAATAAACTTTTTCATTAAAAAAAAAATTCGAACTTTATTTTATCTTCACGGTGAAAATGGCTACCAATTCTATTTTTGTGTGAAAATTCTTGATTTTCGTATTTTACATTTTTAACTTTATTATTATTCTATAACTTTTTGAAAAATGTATGGATCAATAGAATTTTTTCATGAGAAATTGTATTTATATACATCTTGGCATACTTTTTTTTTAAATCATTCCTTTTCCTTTAATACAGAGGAGGTTCAAAACTTAAAAATGCATATACAAAATAGAACTTTTTCAACTTAATTTTTGAAAATGTTCTGGAAAAACTGACACTTTTATATATATCTTAAATCAAAGCTAATATAATGTACTTTATTATGGAAAAAAAAAATTTCAGACTTTATTTTGTATTCACGATGAAAATAGTTACCAAATGCTAATTTTGTGTGAAAATTCTCGATTTTATATTACAATTTTTAACTTTATAATGTTATAACTTATTGAAATGAGTATGGATCAATACAATTTTTTTATGAGAAATAATATTTATATCTGTTTTTCATTCAACATACTTTTTTTTAAATAGCACCATTTCCCTTTATATAATTATACAGAGTGATTTTTTTATCATAACCCACTCAATTACTTGCAGAATAATAATAATTTAAACATTTTTTTTTTATTATCTTTAGTTGCACATTATTCTTGAATTTTTAACTATGTAATACTTTTTAAGTTCATCCCTTATGCCTTGGAGGGGGGTCATCTTTGTTTTTTTAAATGGTAACACATATTTTGAATATAATAAAATGTTTGGATTTTTAATTAAATAGTAAATGGAATTTGAATTTTTAATATAACTTTATTAGTTTATTAGATATAAATATTTAAAGTTTCAAATTTTTGAGTTAATATACAGGGTGTTCAGTAAGTCAGGAAACGGGTATCTATTGTTCTCATTGTTACAAACAATGAGAACAATAGATACCCGTTTCCTGACTTACTGAACACCCTGTATATGTATAATACACAAGGAATTACAAATACAGGTAGCTAATTGATTTTTTATGACATCGATATTAGCAGGTACACAGCATTGTTATTATCAATGATAGTAAGGCACATTGTTATGAGTTTATAAATACACTAACTGACAATACAGAAAGTATATCTATTGATAATCATAATTTATAATAAACAATCCGTGACTGAGACAGCGATGTCATAAAAAATCAATTAGCTACCTGTATTTGTAATCCCTTGTGTATTATACCTATATATTAACTCAAAAATTTGAAACTTTAAATGATTATATCTAATAAACGAATTAAGTTATATTAAAAATTCAAATACCATTTACTATTAAATTAAAAACTCAAACATTTTATTAAATTAAAAATATGTGTTACTATTTAAAAAAACAAAGTTGACCCCCTTCCAAGGCATAAGGGATGAACTTAAAAAGTATTACATAGTTAAAAATCCAAGAATAATGTGTAACTAAAGATAATGAAAAAAAAAATGTTTAAATTATTATTATTCTGCAAGTAATTGAGTGGGTTATGATAAAAAAATCACCCTGTATATTATAAATATATATATTTATTCTCATATTACACTTATGTATCATAAAACTTGTAATCAGGATATAAATATTGAAATAGGAGATCATGTAGCTTTTGGAATAATCTATCAATTTTTTTTAAATTAAACACTGTCTACGGATTTGCATCGAAGCGTTTTTTATGATAGTGATTTTAATCACTGTCAGATATCATCTATACTGATCCAACTTTGGGCCTACGACCCCACTGTGCTGGTTTTTTTATTTTATAAGCTACTTTAATCTGCAAGTTGCCTTTCAAAAGGCAACTTTGACCCTTATAATGTATAACTATAAAAAATACTTAACAATTGATAAGTTAGAATTAAATAAAACTAAAAAATACAAAAGAGAACTTTCTTTACAATTATTGTTTTAAGAAAAATCTAGAGGATCTTTATAATAACAATTTTGAAAAACACCGATCTAATGTGTTGCTCTCTCTGTTAAATATGCGCCAACATTTTTATTAATTAAAATAATTAATATTTTAATTTTTTATTAGTGAGTAATTAAGAATATCCTCCAGTTTAAGAGTTAGTCAAACAATAATATCAGATGTTTTGCTTATGTTATATATATATACATACTTTTATGGATGGGCAGTTTTTTTAAATACTTTATTTTGTTTGTTTCAATTGCATAAATAAGTGGAATTTTTTAAACATAATTGTTTTCAAATATTTATAATATTTAAAAAGTGCAAAAATTCACTTGAGTAAAACATTTATTAATTAATTTTCATAAAATGACATTTTTACTATAACGAAAATGTTATTAGATTTAATCATTCCATTTAGTGTAGGATAAATTTAGAATTAGAAACGACTTAAATAAAATAACAAAATAAATTAATTTTTTTTAATTTGTCAATGAACATCGAAATGATTGCAGAAAATTATGTTGATACAATTTCAATAAAATAGTTTTAGTATATTTTTTTAACTTTTTTTTTATAAAAGTATAAAAAAATTAATTGCGCATCCTCGTTACACTCATAGAACGAGTTAATTTACATAAAAAAATATTAAGTCTCATATAATTGTATGATAATATATACATGGGTGCCCGCAGGGGTGGCAAGAGAGGGGCGTTTGCCCCCCCCTGGACTTTAGAAATACATTTTTAAAAATTATAACCAATCTGATTTAAATTTGTATAATCTGAAAATTTTTATTTAGTTATGACTCATGAATATATATAATAATTATATATATATATATTTTGCAATTTTCAGTTAATAATACTTTATTTAATGTTACTTTTTGGTATTTAATTTTTTTGCCCCCCCCCTGATAAATTTCCTGCGGTCGCCCATGAATATATATATTTTAATTAGTATTTTACGTTAGATAATTTTTATTCTCAGGCGATATAATATTTATTCAGTCATTTTTTATTTGGTGCGCTAATTAAATTATCTAGAATAATTTTCAAATTAGCTATAGAATATATTTATAACAATATATATTGTTTATATATTCATATAATATGTACTAATACACTTATTGAAAAAAGAAGCATATTCTATTCCTAATTAGTAGTGATCTATAATTCATAATAAGTCATTATTTACCATTTATGTATTTTATTGTTTACGATCTGCTTTGTTTAAACTGAGATTTTTACACACAGGGTTACTTATTTTTTAAGCTAAGATTATTGTTTTGAAGTTTATTATATTTTATCAGTATTAACAATATATCAAGTAATTCTCTTTTTATAAATTTTACTATGCATGTAGTTTATGGTGTATGATAGTTATGGTGTAACACTACTTAATAAAATTGAATGGTTTATATCCTGCTGTTCGACTCTTATCTCTAAAGTGATAAATTCTTTTTTCTCACGTGTAAACCGAAGAAATTAAATTTTAATTTCATTTACTCAGCAGGGGAAGTTTAATGAAACTTAAGAAAGTAGTATCATGTTTAGGTACAAACATTAAAAATCGTTATTTGCTCTATAACCTGATACTACTTCTTATAAAAAGCTTTTTGATATATTATATTTATCAATACTTAAAATTACTTTTGCTTTTTAATAAAATATATTATAGCGTAATGTAAGCCTATTACTCAGTCATTAAAGTAACTAAAAGTCATTTGTTACATTATGTCACTTTTTCACTATTAGAGACACAATTAATGAAAAAAGAGTAACTTTGATGAATAATTTATCTAAAATAAAACATTTTTTGTGTTCTTTTTAATTAAAATTTTTGTTTGTAACTTCATAATACTATTTTATTGTAT